TTTTTAACTCACTAATTTGTCCAAACTGAGAATGTTTTCCTGCTTTTTATTTCATCCAGACAAAATGCCCAGTCTGATTTAATCAAAATTAGAGGTTTTTTTCACTGTTCTGTTTAACATTACACTAATCATGTGTATTTTCAGAGTGGGTGTTTCAGTAGTCAACAGTATGAGTAAATCAAATGGCAGATCCTGGCAGGGTTAGGAGTGAAGCATGGGTGGAGTTACCCAGTGCCCCCGGGGGGGGGGGGGGGGGGGTGTTGTAATTTGAGCTGTACCAGTTTCACCCACATTTCCAGATTTTGTCAAATTGTCAAACATCTACTTAAACTGTCATCCAAGAAGTAGGCAGGCACTCCAGAGACGCAAATGTGTGTACAAAAAACCCCGACAGAGGGAATTCTGCATAATATGTCGGCTTACAAGAAAATATTATCCTATGGTTTGGAAGAAGTTGAGTGGGTAGAAAAGAAAAGTTAGTTCAGACGAGCTAATGCCAAGTGTATAATCAAATAACAATATATATATTTTAAATACTTTGAGTCAGAGTTAAAGTCTTTGGCAGTCTCCATATATATATGGCTTTGGTTTTGAAGAAGATCTTGGTGTTTGTTTTTCTTCAATTCCTGCATGTACATCAGGTGTTCAACTAAACAGGCCAGGGCTTCACAGTAAATTCGTAGTAAATTGAACGTAGAACGCAGTAGAGTCTACTGCACTAAGGCAGTAGGCAGATACTGTCTACTAAGTAGACTTTACAATTGTTAATAATAATCCATCATAGTGGTTGAATCATGTAGGTGCAGCTGTACGAAAATAAAGCCTGGAATACATACGTGGTATTCCATAATTCCACGAGATTTTTTTTTTTTTAAATTTCTGAATTATGTAGTGACGTAAAGTTGGAATTTTATTGCCCTCTTTTTGGTAACGTGTGTGTATATATATACACACAATGTCATCTTACAGTACCTCCCATAACCCACGGGGCTGAGACAGCAGGCAGGGACAGACCCTGAGGGACGTCGTTACATTTTTACGTCTACAGAAAAGTTGTTGACGTTTCTTGATAGGTGCATTATATTTTTAAGACACAATTAAATATAAAATTACGTTAAGGCCTCTGGGGACTTCAGACAAGCAGCACTTTTGAGCAAAGACATCCGTGGTCTGGCAGACCAACCCAGACTGCTATAGGCTGTGAATGTGGCACATTCATCAGGGGATATTATGGTGTGTTTAAAAGTTGCTGTGGTGCATTTTAATGGAGTTATTAAGACTCTGCATTCTGTGTTGATGAGATAGTCTGGTGAAGGTGTTATATTATCATCATCGTTGTTGTTGTTGTTGTTGTTGTTGTTGTTGTTGTTGTTGTTTTGTTAGTTTGCTTCAGGGCAGCCTATTTCATTGCCTGCTGTGTTCCAGCTCTTTGTGCATTATAGTGTTTTTTTAAATGTTGTGGAAACATGTTTTGAAACCATCATGAGACATGTGGACAATTTGGACATGCTTATTATTAGGAAGACAGTGTGTTGTGTTCCGACTTCATTAACTGTGATGTTAAAATCCCAACACTTTAACACAATTATATCAGCGTTATTGGAGGCAGCAGTTCTGCAGATTAAATTTATGCGGAATGTGGAATAATTATGTGTTAATATAACCACACATTTGTCTCATTTCTAATTCTATAAACCTTGCTGAGATGGCCGTTCATAAATCATTTTGATGGCATGATTCACCAACTTTTAATGGCTACTGCTCGCAGAAAATTTAAAGCTATTTATTATTAGGTTAGAACAAGCAATTCGCTGTGAAATGATCTGTTTGTAGCAGGTTTTAAATACGACAAAGATAGCAAATAAATGCAGGCATTTAAAACAAATTAGGACTGATGCCCCCAGGACGTGACCTTCAAGGTTATGAAAACAAATTGGAAAATTCTAATTTATGACTGTAATATAGTTGTTCATTATTTTTTTTTAACAATTTCTGTATAAATGTTAAATCATTATTTTCCTGGTAAGTTAATGACCATTGCCCAAGCATATGTTTTTCAGTTTATATTTGATATATGTTTATATTTAATACACATTACTCAGTTTGTTAATAT